GGGAGTTTTTCACACTTGGGTCAACTCAAATTAAGCAAATCTGCCAAACCAACCTAATAATCTGTTTAGGTAGTCATTTTTTGGTCGAGTGGGGCTTCTGCAGCCGGCGTAGTATTCAAAAACCAATCTCATGGCGTATCTGAAATATCTTTGGATTATGCTCCAAGATAATAAATATTAAAATCTTAATTTAGTTAATTTTTCCCAATCGAAAACACGTTTCGGTATTTTTCATGAGATCGGTCACTGACTGTACAAAACTGGTGGAAATTTTTATTCTTACGGAGAGAAGTAAGGCGTAGGAGAAAGCATGCATGGATAGACAAGACGTTAAATCAGCGGCTAATAACTAAAAGCAGGACTGAACACTGCATTTCTGTTTCTACTCAAGGGTGGTTAAGCGTTAAGATATCCAGGAAGATTAGAGAGAGGGAAAGGCTTTATTTTGAAAAGATGATTCCATAATTTTCAGCAAAAGACGTCCTCCATTCACCGTGGATAAAATTTGGCGCACAAACCTCCATAGCAGCGGGAGATAACAAATAATGTCTAATCGCCGAACAGTGTAATTGCGAAAATCACGACGAATCGTCTTTGAGTGGATTCCAAAATTTAGGGCGAATTGGACTCCTTTCAAAACAGCAATAGCTGTAGTGCGGATAAACAAATAGGAAGTAAGAGTGGTCCAACTGATATATATGCAAAAAAATTACATGCAAATGAAAAACAGAAACATATGGCAGCCCATTTTCGGAAGCCCGTGAGAGAATCTTAAAAATTACACAAGCCTTGACAATAAGTAGTCCATAGGACGATTTCCATCCTGGACTGTATTGCAGAACACATACAAGTACACTTAATTCAGCTTTTTAATTCCCTTGGAAATTAATTTCTGTTCGCGGTATACATTGGTGTTCTTTTAAGTCTAGAGGCATAAACCGAAATCTATATGGATATTTGGGTCAAACTCGGTCAAACTCGGTTAACCACTGCTTAATAAACGCATGATGCCACCGGGCAGACAATGGTACTATAGATTGACGTTTTAACTTACCGTAGTTACAGCCTATGTACTAGCTAAAAGGCCCAGACGTGTGTTTCGCCGATATTCTACCGCTGCTTGGCACAACTGCGAGAGGTTTGGATCATCAGTGGGTCCCCTAGCTTTCCCTGTCTGCTTTCTGGTTGATATACCGGTTCTAAAAGTTCACCTTTTCAATTTCCTGAGAAATTAATCTCTGTTCAATGACCCCTCACATTTGTGTCGAGCAGCGGCAGAATACCGCCAAAACACATGTCTGAGTCTTTTATCTAGTACCTGGGCTGTTAGTATGGTAAATCAAAATGTCAATACACTTCGTCTTGAAGTTACAATAGATTTTACATCTCATGAAATGGCAGCCAACGCCCTGCAATGGGTTTTCGATTCGAAAATAATGTTTAAGTAGAGCTATACTTCTAACTTTAATGCAGCCTAATACCAGGATACCTTCAGTCAGGAAAAGATTGCGACTTTTGAATGGGTCCTTCTCCGGCCGCATGTAAAACTACACTCCACATTCAAGAATGAGCCCGGGGATAGTGACTTCTGCTAGGGGTTGGTGAACTTTCATTAATGAGTGTCAATACCTCCCGATGTAAACCGACAAGACAACGAGCTGGTGACTGAACGGTCAGAGCATTAGACTCTGATCAAAAGGCAGCGAGTTCGAGCCTTGGTTGGTGCACCACTTGGGTCTGAGTATGACTGGCTGACGATGGTTAATAAGTCAGAAATGGCAATTCCAGTCTCCCTTATCTTTGCTGGCGATTGTATCCACCTAGAATAGAATCTGCTTCTACTGCATGAGGGCCTGAGAAATGAGACCCAAGGCAGACAGCTGGACAAGTACCTCTCTTTTATTACCGAGTGTGGGCTTGCAGGTTATTCAAAAGTCAGCAACCTGATATGCTCTTCTCCGATGACCCATATTAAAATATCACTTGCCTAATCCATCTTATCGAAAACTCTTTTTAGACTTTGGGTTAATGTTTCTTTGAGCTACATGGGTTGCCTGAATATCTTTTGTCCAACTTGTCCAACCTCGATTTCAGCAACAGCCCAATCTGATAATGTACATTCATTTTCAATCTGGTAGCTTCCAGGTTTCGATGCGAGCGACCTCAAAACGCTCGGGGAGCAGCGCTTCGCTCACAAGATCCTTGCGTTTCTCGCATCCCAGTACGTTTGGCATGAGGGCAATGACAATGCGGCCGAGGTAAGTCCTCCATCCTCCTTAAATGTCAATTCGTTTTGGCTGTCTGTTGCTACTTT